TTCTTCCGGCTCGAACTCGTCGAAAAGTTTCGTAATGTACTACTCGGCTCAGCTCCCGTCCAACTCGTCAGCATACCACTGCGTCGGCGCTGCGGTGTCACGCACTTCAGTCCTCGGCCCTTATGTACCTCTCCCTTCACCGCTGGCGTGTCCACTAAGTAAAGGAGGGGCTATCGACCCTTCCGGCTTCTTGGACCCCCAGACCGGGTTTCGGTACCTGGTCTACAAGGTCGACGGCAACGCGCTGGGCAACGGGGGATCGTGCGGGAACACGGTCCCGCCGCTGAGGCGGACGCCGATACTGCTGCAGAGGGTGAACGAGACGGACGGGGTGACGCTTATCGGCGAACCCACGGCGATACTGGACAGGGACGAAAAGGACGGCCCGCTGGTCGAGGCGCCGGACCTGTGGTTTGAGGAGGCGAGTCAAAAGTACGTGCTGTTTTACAGTAATCACTGCTGGAGCGAGGAAGGGTACAGCGTCAACTACGCCGTGTCGGAAAACGGGATCGCGGGGAGGTACGTCAAGATGAACGGGACGGTGATTGTTGAAGGGAACGGGGAGGAGGTAAGGCAAAGGGCGCTGGTTATGACGCAGGGAAGAGGCGATGGGTTCAACGTGAGTGCTCCGGGCGGGGCGAGCAGTTACAGAGATGAGGATACGGGGAGGAGTGGGATTGTGTTTCATGCTAACTGTAGGGAGGGGAGGTGTTTGTTTGAGGCTGGGATTGAGATGGGGGAGGATGGGGGAGTGAAGGTTTTTTGATATTTTGGTTATGGATAAAAAGGGTTTTTTTTTTCGGAATGTTTGGGAGTTTTGGCGATCCCCTCAATAGAGTGTTTATTTTTTATGGTAGCATTCACAGATGGAATGTTGGATTATGTCAGCCTTATTTTGTGTATTATATTATGATATGAATCTACGGGATAGGTTCTACGAGGAATGGTCAGAAGCCAAGAAACATTGTTTAAGCCTGGCCCTTACTAGGCGGCCACTTCCGTAGCGTCCGATGGGATTCGGGAATGTCCCCTGGATTCACGTTGTAACGGCTGCGGCCAGGCGCCGGCCACTACTCTGGGAAGGGAATAAGCTATGTGATAATTCCCCGTCGAGGCGGCTTTCTGCTGACTGAAAATTTGACGCCGAGCATGTGAAGCTCTCATCACAATTGAGCTTTAAGTCGGTGTGCTTACTTTCCCCTCATCAGCGTGAGACGGCATCTGCTGTGGTGCATCGTTGAGTCTGACATTTCGTGTTACCTTTTTTTCCCCGTAGGTTTCCCCGCATCAAAGTAAGACGTCAATTCGGGGAAGGAAATCTAGATTTAGAAGCGAGAACCAGCAAGCTGAAGGTTATGGAAAGGTGTAACCTTGAGCTTTCAAAATTGGAAGCAGAAAAGGTTGTATACCGACGGTCTGTGCCATGGGATGACGATCGCCCGCGATCGAGGCTTGGACCTCTTGTGTGTGGAATAAAATATGCAGAGTCTGAGCCCACGGAATTCTATAAGAACAAGCCTTCCCGTAATTTCGAGTTCAGCCATGATATGATGGTGTGCTCGTAATTGACAATGTACGCGCAGGAAGGCCCGAGGTGAAGAGTGTTCACATCATTCACAGTTCCCATCACTGTGCCATATTCCGACTTCCAGCTGACTTGACGCCCAAGCGGACAGAAGAACTACGTGATGCAAGACGTGATGTTGGTGGTGTGTCGTGCAAATGCAACAGCAGAGAAACGAATGAAGTCGGCCGCAGCGCTTGTGGTAGTCACCCACTATTCTTCAAACGGTCTAGACCCCGCGGGCACACATCTCTTGGCATTGACCTCGAAGCGCCCGCCAAGGTCCCACCCACTATCGTCTTCCTCACCAGTTCATCTCATCTGCATCAAGCAACCGAGACGGGAGCCACGAGGAAAATTGGCCAAACATTTGGTCGCTGAAAGCGCTCGATCCAAACTACTGGGTTCAATACATTTTATTAAATTCCTGCATTTTTTCACGATAATTTCCCGATTCCATCGTTATCTGCGTGCGGTAAGGTAGGGCTAGGAATTGACGAGCTAAGCGCTGAAAGACGCTGCGATTGTTGAGCCACTTTGAGATCTCAACAGACCACCGCACAAGAGGATTAGCAGACAAACATTCTATCTTTATTTTGAGGTGAGGTATGGCTGTGTATTCTAAGAATTGACTGCATGCTGCAGAATGCAATTGGTCCAAGGTCCCCGTGTCAAGCTGTGCAACCGGAGCACGCAAGCACAGCAAGCATCTGCCGAACATCTTGCCCTTCTCTCTGATTGGCTCAACCGGAAAGGGGACTCGCAAGATCACCAGCGGCAGCACATCGAGAGGGTGCACACTATCAATCCGTCACACGCCCGATGCGGGTTAGGTCAGGGCGAGTGCCACCCTTCAGCACACCATCCCGCCTCTTCACCGTGGATCCCACTTGCCCTTTCTGCTCGTCCATCACATCGATTGAGTGAATGTGGGCGGCACGACAATCGTACTAGTGTAAAGCAGAGAAACATTTACATGATGCTTGTCCCGTCCCCTTCTCTGTCGTCTCTTGTAGACTTGTCTTGTCAATTCTCTCCCTTCGTTTTGCCACGGCCACCATAATCATCATTTCTCTTCTTGCTTCTATCAGATCAACCAAGATCGTCAACCCCAGGCTGGCCCCGGGCTATCTTCATCTGTCCATCTACTACTACCTAGTACTCGGCCATCTCGGCCTCGAATCTCTTACACCATGGGCTCCCATCTTACAACACCTTTAAGACTATCTACTCTTTTCTCACTTCTCTTAATATCAGCACAACTTGTATCGGCCTTACAAGTAACACCAAACTCTCCTTGTGCTTCACAATGCCAAGACTCTTCAACCGTCGATGTTTCGGACCCCAACTCCTCAACCACCAAGAATTCCGATATAGTCTGCGACGATGCGAAATATGCGGGCGCTGCCGGAACCAAGTTCAAGACTTGCATGTCTTGCCTTCAGACAAGCAGCTTCACTCAGGGAAGCGAGAGTGACATGATGTGGTTTCTCTGTAGGTACATCAAACTGCTCACTCTCTGTCTTCAACTAACAAATGGCTAGATAACGCTAGATATGCCGCTGCATACTGTGTCTTTGGCTACCCAAATGCCACAGATATAGGGTCATCACCCTGTACTACAAGCCATGCTTGCGGCCCTCTCCAGGACACTGTCCAACACGGCATCCTGAATCAAAAGGACATGACCGCTTACTCATACTGCTCAGCAGGGCAGGCCATGGAATCTCTTCCCTACGAAAGGTGCAGAGCTTGTGTCTCGGCTGAGCGCAAGTCTCTTTACCTCGCCAACCTTCTTGTGGCACTCGAAGCTGGTTGCAAGCAACAGCCTGCCCCTAACGTCCACCTTGGACTGAATGAAACCATCTTTTCCGACCACATCGTCGGTATCGTCGACCCTTCAATGGTCGGCAAGTCGGAGGAGAAGAGCCCGGCAGTTGGGACCACCACCATCATTGGTATCGTTGCCGGAGCAGTGGTTGGTCTTCTTGCCATTGCTGCCTTCATTTTTGTTTGTCTGCGGAAGCGCAAGAACAGGGTCAACCGCGCCAGTGCCCAAGCAGACTTCTTCAGGACTTTCGGACAGCGCCCCGAGTCTGCCATATCTTTCCAATGCCAGACCCACGCCATGTTGTCACCACGACTCTGGCCAGCGGCTGCCGAGGGTATCTCTCCGATTGTCGAGGATCCAAACCAAATCTTGCCAATGTACAGTCAGGATGCGTTCCAAAAGCAGGAGATTTACGGATATGCGCCAGACCATCAATATTACGATACATCGGCTCCGATTTCCAAGAAGGCTGCTGAAGCCGCTGTACCGCTTCATCACCTCACTACAAGCATTCCGCCAGTCCAGCCAGCACAAGCCTACACCACGCCTTATGCGGCCGAAAAGGTCTATTATTCTCCTTCCGACTTCAAATCTCCTTTGTCGGCAGACTCGGTTCGCAGCACAAGTGCTCTGCTCCCAGCAATCAAGCCATACATCCCTTCTGAGCATGGCATCCATGGCGGCGTTCAAGGCAGCCCGGTACCTCAGTCAGCTACATCCTTCACTAGTCCAACTTCAGGAACTGGGATGACTCCTCTGCTCAAAAGCCACGCTTGGCCAGAACAGCAGCAAAAGCAAAAGCCACAAAGACCAATAATCAAGCTCACTACAACCGATACTCTTCCTCCTCCGCCGGGACCACCACCGTCCAAACAATCAAGGAACAGTGTTGTAGCCGGTATAGGGCTGGGACTGACGGTTAAGAAGGACAAGATCACACCGACTGGGAGTCCGGTTGAGTCATTTGAGATTAAAACTGCTTTCAAGGCACCGCCCAGGCGGTGATTCTTCAACCTTTTTCGTTATAATTTTTTTTTTTTTTATGTTTGAGGCTGGGACCATATATACCCACGTACTACCACCCCGATGATTTCTTTTTTTATTTTGGTTTTTGGATATTGAAGACAAAGTCTGCAGGGACAAAAAGGATTTTTTGGTTTTGTTTTGGGGTAAATGATATGATCATAGGAGTTTAGGTTCAAGGTGTTGGTTGGGTTGTTTTTGTTTTTGTTTTTGTTTTTGGAGATTGTATAACATCCATCAGCCATGAACGGCATTTTTTAATCCTGATAGGTTAAAAAAGATATAATGACAAATTTCCTTGACAGTCATTTTGACAATTCAAATGCTTTTGCTTCTTACATTATTTACAGCACGTAAACCGTATTTTGATTCTCGGTCTGTGTTGTATATTCTCTCGTCCCAAGCGCTTAACGTTTACGGGACCACCTCCATATTGATGTCCTCCAAGTTGGGCAATTTTTGGACCGTAACTGATTTTTTTTTAAAATAAAAAAATCACTCACCATTCAAAACAAAGAATTATGCCGCCCAATGAAGGAAAAGAATCGATCAGAGGGGATAAAAATAAGAAGAAAAAATATGGGGCTCAATCGGGGATCGAACCCGAGACCTCGCACATTTTCCATTCTAAATGAATGAAGGGAAGAGAAGAGCAAATTCCCGAAGCACGAATCATACCACTAGACCATTGAGCCACAAACCCAAACTTGAGTCGAATTGTATGTCTTGCGCAAAATTGTGTATTATGTATGTGTTGCGTCGCATGGGCTGCGAAACCCGTGAAACAATGTATATGTAGTAGTAGGTTGGACGCGAAATAACCCCCCCAAAAAAACATTGACAAATTAACTTGCAAGACTGGCAACTGAAATTTGCGGTTTCTAGAAAGAGTTTTATATTTAAATAAAAACAAAGATGCCAAAAATATAGGGAAATAAAATTCAGGATTAGATAGATATAAAATTTGAACTACCGAGGGAGGGAAAGAAAGAAAGAAAGCGTGGGTTTGAGTTGAAAAAAAAAAAAAAAAAAAAAAGGGCAAAAAAGGTGCATCATGATAATACTGGAATTCGCAGTTTAGGATTTTCAGCAGAAAGAAAACATTTTTGTCTCATTTATTTTTAAAAATAATATCAATGCAAACATTCTAATGTATGCAGAAAAATAAATAATAATAATACCACGAAAAAAAGAAACTATCGTTGTCATCTTTCATCAGTCATATGTAGTGTAGTACAACCTACTGCCAAACCAGAAAGCAGGTCTCTCTCCTTTGTCTCTACTGGTATCCCACCGCAACGCCTGCCCGCCATCTCGCCCACACACCAGCACAACCATCATCATTCACAACTTTGACTCCCCTCCCTTCTTCATCTTTCGCTATCCTGCCATTTCGCTCCGATTCTCCAAAATAAGGATCCGACGATGACCAACCCTCAGGACTGGGCAATATCCCACCTTGGACCATGTATCCCTCTTCTTCTTCTTCAAATTGCTCATCCTCCTCCTCTTCTTCTTCTTCTTCATCCTCATCATACCCCCCAGCCCAAATACTAGGACTAGCTCCGATCCTAATCACCTCCCCTTTTTCTTCCTTACTGGCAATTTTTTCTCTTCCCCTTCCCAAGCCAACGACAACAGTTCTGGGACTAATCCCCTCTTCCCCCTCACCATCCTCTACATACTCCCCATATAACCCCCATTTCATACCAACAGACAACCCCCCTCCACCCCCCAGTGTGGGAGATTCTTCGTTTCTTGGCCGCCAAATCTGACTCCCCCTCTTGAATATCCCCTCATTAAACTTGGTAGGTGACGGCTCCTCAACCAACCACTCAGCAAAGTAGTCGTCATCATCTCCCTCAGGCTGTCCCTGCTCCTGCACCGGAGACGAACTGCCGAAACTCCAGGGGGAGATGTCGCCTGCTGTTAATAGCGGCCAGGTTGTAGACTTGAAATTGTTGCCCGACTCGCTTGGTGTGGGCGTGTACGTTGGTGTCAAAGCCGAAACGGGGATTGCGGATATGATAGTGTGGGATTTGAATTTGGTAGAGTCGGAAGAAAATGGTGGTGTGTCAAGGGAGGTGTATAAATCTGCCGGGGATATTTGGACCGGGGGCGGTTTTAGCGAGAAGGGAGCGATAATTCTTGGGTCGGTTAGAATCGAGAGTTTTGGTTTGGTTCTCGTTTGAGGTGGTGAGGTTGGAGGTGTTGGGAGGGAGCGAGAAACTGTATGTTGGTCTTGTGGTTTATCTTTAGGCGGTTGCTGAGAAGGAGGAGGCGGCGGTGACTCTGCTGATCCCTGGTCCTCTGGACTCGGTTCCCCCCCATTCCAGGATTCATCATCCTGCTCTTCCTCAATATTTTCTGACGATCCACCGTCTGATGGTGTAGTCTTATCTTCTTCTTCCTCAGTGGAAGCGCTAGCGATTTTCGCAAATGGGGGCTTATCGGTGTCGACTATTAATAACTTTTCCTCGCCTCTTCCGAGAATATCGTAAACATTTACTTCCCCGTTTTGGATACCTACCACGGTGCTGGTCCCGGCGTAGAGGACTTCATCTTCAATGCCACACCGGTTGGCGAAAACTACAATGATCTCTTCGCTGTTATTGCTGTCGCCGTCGGCCTTGATGACTGGTTCTAATCGCCGAATCCAGTACTGAAGAGTTTCGAGATCTGGTCTTTCTGGTACTGATGTAAAGTTTTCTCTGTCGGCGAAGGTCAACCACGCCATGGAGACAATAACTAGGTTTGCGCGGATCTTTTTGACGTGACATCCGAATTCGCAGGCGTCCCAGGGTGCTTCAAATTTGTAGGGACTTGTAACAAGAGTCAGTATCAGAGACATCGGGATGGAGGTGGAGATAAAGACATACTTGATATCCATACATATCCCCGTAGCCACCTTTCCAAGACCTTCCAGCTCCCCCTGATAGAACCCGTCCCCCTCAAGGGCCCACGTTTCGTCGGTGTAATAGAGGAAACTCTTCCGGTAGTTGGCTGCCACTTCGCCGTCTTTCCCGACAAAGACAAGTGAGTTGTAGTTTTTTGAAGTTTCTTGTTTCTCTTCTTCCTCTTCCTTTTCCCTCCTCACTACCTCTGGATAACCAACACCAACAACACACTCGTACTTGCGAGCCATCGTTCGGGCCCAGTCTGCACTTATTCCTGATGCCGATGGCTCAAGGTATGGCGTGATCTCCTGTAATGACTTGAAGTTGTATCCTGTTTTACATGTCAGACAAAAATGTCAAGTGCATCAATGAGCGAATGTGTAACCCACCACTAAACGCCATCTCAGGCAATACCAGTAAATCCAAGTTTTGTAGATCCTCGGGGTCGGCTTCTGATATTATTTGATCGGCACGGCTGATATTGTTGGAGACATGGCCCACTTGGGGTGCGAATTGGAGGCAAGCGATCCTCATGGTGGCCACTTCTTATATATGTGTGCACAATAATGATCTGTGTGTGTGTGTGTGTGTGTGTGTGTGTGTGTGGTTCAGCCTTATGCGTTTGAGATGCTTGCTTGCTGGCTGGTTGGGTATGACAAAGATAGAAGCAAATAGCCGCCCTCAATCACTTTAAACCAGGCTAAGAGTGGCAAGAAGACTTGTTTCAAAAATCAAAAAAAAAGAAAAAAGAGAAAAGGCTACCCAAGAAATTGCTTGAAGCGGGGGGAACGTAGGCAACGTGGGACCGTTAGGTGTGTGAGCGTAGTGTATGAAGGTGGTGGTAGTTCCTTTTTTTTTGAGTAACACACCTTTTGACGGGAGAGGTGGTGGGGGATAAAAATATCTTTCTGGGTTCCTGCAGGTAAGGGGAAGAGGGATGGAGGGGTAAAGGGAAGTAAGTGTGTGAAATTATTTCTACTCTCACGGCAAAGTAAGTGTCAGCGAGAGGCACAGGCTCTTTCGGCCAAAACGGCACGGAGTAAGCGGTTTTGGCGTTATCAATCTTCATACGCCATAGAACTTCCTTCCGTCTGCTGCGCCAGGCATCTGCCGGCGAACGATAGGTATCCTTCTCACCTTTCTTCTTCTTCTTTTCTTTTTCTTTCCTTTCTAATAGAGTCAGCAAGTCCAGGTGGGGTGGGTGGTATTTGCAGAAGGAGGGGACACCGTTGGATGCACGCCATTACGTATCACAGCATGGTTGTGTGCAGAGCACGAGAAGAACAAAGGATTGCTTCGTCTGACCTTTTCTTTTTGTATCTAATTCTTGTTCGCCCCCATGAAACATGTTTCCAATGGCAGCCACCACCGCCTTCCTCCAGGCCGATTGATGCCTCCAAGTTTCAAGTTCATGTGGTTCATGTCTCTGCTACTGATTCCCCCCAAAAGTATAATAAACTGCCGATATGTTAGTGGAAATGCCTAGAAAATCTAAAGTGATAGGGACCATTCCCCTGGGTGCCGCGGCAGTCGTGGCATGGTGCAGAGCAGCGAACTGGACGGAGGAGGAGGGGCAATCGAGGGGTCTGGAGGGACCTAGTGAGGAATCGGCGGCTTTAGCGGGGTTCTGACGGGGATCGCTAGGTAGCTGCCCCCACCGCCCCATAGTACTAACTTACAGGGGGATTCGTCCCCGATTCCCCGGGGTCCTTCACCTTTCACCATCTTCCGATGTGCTGAATTTTGATGTAGTTCAGGACTCTAGGACTTTCTCCGATTCATATTACCGATTAAATGCGAAATTATTAATCAACACACCGCTTGCTTACACTTCCCTCCTTCTCCCGATTCCTTTTATCACCAATTCCCTCCAGTATAGATCAAGCACACCCAATCTCATGAAGCCCCCTCTTCGGAGAATCACCAAAATCAGTCTGATAGCTAATACCATCCCACCCAAACCACGCAGCCGTTCCATTCTGTGGGTAACAAACTGTCATCACGCTCCCATCCGTATCCGGTTTATATCCCCACGAGATCTTGAACCCCTTGCAGGCTTTCCCGAACCAGCTAATGTCGCTCTTGGAGCCGACAAGAGTAAACGAGCAGTGAGCCGTAAGGCCGTCGCTGTCCTTGATGACGAATTCCGTTTTTGTAATGTCCTTACTCTCGTCCTGGACTGTATTTGTATCACCAATAACATCAGTAAAACCAGCTTCATAAAACATTGAAGAGATATTCTTCTTACCCCTAGACAAATCCTTGATCTGCCACGTCTTCCCACTCTCCTCTTCTCCCTCTCCACGACGCTCTTTCAGTCCCATTCTTCTATCCTCAGTCTGTCTATCATGTTGCTCCTTATTCTCTCTTACCGGAGATCCCTCCCTATTCCTCTTCAGGCGCCTCCTCTGCGTCTTTCCCGCAGCACTCAAAACCTTGGCTCTCTTGGGGTGAGACTGCCCGTCCCCCAATTCTGCATCAGTATACCCAAAGAACGCATACTCTCCCTTTCTGTTGTCCACAACAACCAGAGTCCAGAACTTCTGCTGAGAGTTGTACCCCCCGTTGACTTTGAGCCTGTCCACGCCCAAACAAGAGACATCGCCGAATTCTGTTTGGTCTGCACGGGTCGATGATAATGATGATGAAAAAGAAGAAGCAGAAATATTAAAGATGCAAGTGATGATGTCGTTCTCCGAGTGAGGGTCGTCCATATCTGGGTTTTGGTTGAGGTCGAGCATGTAGAGACAAGATGAGTCGTCGGGCGTGCAGGTGCGGGCGATGTCGTAGATTGTCCA